TTCTGTAGGACCGAGCTGTAGGAGTTCTTTTTCACCAGAATGCATTTGAAAGCCAGCCTGGCCCTGTTCTCGAGTGGCAGAGAGTTTTAGAGTACGTTCAGAGGAGGCATTAATACAACTAAATAAATTGTTTTTGGTTTCTTTAACAAACTTTAAGAGAGCAAAAGAGTTAGCTAAGTCCAATATCTACAAATTATACAAAAATTCTCACCAACACATATACTCTTGTTCTCTGCTTTGAAAAGAATTGTCCGGGATATGACATGAAGAAGTAATAGTAAACAGAAAATGCTATTCAAGAAAATGAAAATGCTTTTGGAACAAGATTCTTTATGTAAAGTGAAGACGATCAGGAAAATTTAAGACTAGAGAGGGTAGTTTTACATGGGTATGCCTGGACTGTCCTGAGTTAATGCTTAGCCATCACACCATTTTTTAGTATTCTTTCTTCTAGAAAAATAGATTTCTAATTATAAGAGCAAGGAATGCCATAAACCTCAAAGCAACAGTCTCATTTCAGTATGAACTCTGCAAAGTGCACACATGATTATAAATTATAGTCATCTATGTAAATTAAAAGTGAAAATTTTAATGGTCAATTTCAAATTTTTTATTTAAAATATTTTATTATATAAGTAATGGGTGCTATTATGGAACATTCTGAAGATTTAAGAAATGGATACCAGAAGGTCTTTGAAGAGATCTACTCCACAATATGAAGAAAATACTGTGTGTATGCATTCACATTGTAACAAGTGTTCTATTTCTCCTCTACTGTGTACTAGATACTCTTCCAGATCCTTGGAATATAAAATTTAAGACACCTTCTCTTGAAGAAGCAAGGCAGCCTGCGGCAGAACACACACAGGCAATGAAAGTTGCAGGATAGAGCTCAGTACTGTTACAGCAGTGTCTGCGCGGGAGAGGAGAGGGGAGACAGGAGTCAGAGGTGCCGGAGGCTGGGGTAGTCAGTCTTGTGGGGGTGGAGAGAGTTTGATGCCGGTTTCAAAGTAGAGGCGAGGTGGGGAGGCAGCTTCAGGCAGAGGGAGCAGCACTTGAAAAGGCATGGATGTGTGGGAGAGAGAGCAAGTCCAAGAAGTCACTTACTCTGGCTGGATGTCAGCTGCTAGCATGCGATAAAACTGGAGAAGTGGCCCAGGGAGCCTCCTGTGAAGGACTTGTGAGCTCTGGAATGTGAACACGAGTTCATGTGTGAAGAGGACTTTCGTGTGCAGACCTGATTTCACTTAACAACTGAGTCAATTCAGCCACTCTCCAGGCAGAGAATATATGTGCGCAGACTTACCCTGAAGTTTGTTCCTAGTCCCAGCCACTAACGTTGGTGTGCTAACTTGTGAGCTGCAGTAGTCTCTGGGGTACAAATTGTGTTCGTCCTCATCCAGAGCGGTGTCATTGTCACAAAAGTTAGCATCCTTTCACCAAAAGAAACTTTAGCACACAAAACAAGCCAGAAAAATACAATGCCTTGCCTTAAGCTGGACATTGGGGGACCCCATATCTGTCCCATGGGATACCCATGGGTGATAGGTACCATCTATGGGGTGTGAGAGGCCTCAGCTATAAGGTAGAGGAAGGCTAGGGACTGTCTCTTGGGCAGAGATTCATGAATGCTTTCCAAATCAGGCTGAATTATTCTTTAAACTGTCTCATGGATCACAGGTGAATTTTGTGGCTAAATCATAATGGTTAATGTTTATTGAGCATTTTCTTTGTGTCAGATGTTTGCTGAGCTTTTATGAAATATTCCTAATGCCCTAGAACTGCTTTCCCCTTTGAAATTCTCCAACAAAGATGATGTAAGCTGGTTGTGAACAGTTTACCCTCTCAGTGTAAGCAAGGAAGTTTAGGAAAGTGATGGACGCAGACCAGGTGAAATCAGCACCTGGTGCAGAACAGGAGTCTGATTTGTCTGATTGTGAAGGACACAGCAAAGCATAAATTGCATTCACCTCTGGACAGTGGGAGCTAAGAAGTATTCGTCTTTTTTCTACAATAAACACAATTTTATAATCAAATACGAAAAAAAATACTTTTGGAAAAGGAAAACTGTATAATGGCTTTCCTGGAGGCTGTGAATGAAAATTCCACCTTTCTCTAGTGGGCGCCCAAACCATGGAACCTCAAGAATCTGTTTGCACCTGTTACTGTGCATGAAAGCTTTTATTTTGCCCCAGGGATAGTTCCCAAGGTGTTAAGGGCTCGGGGCTGCTGCTGAGTTTCTATGATAGGAAGGAGAGCTAGGGTTTGGACAGAGCCACTTTTCACCCAATGCTTCCTTTTTCTGGAGGTCAGCAGTTGACAGAGCTGTTGGAGGAAGCTTTGAATGGCTGTAGCATGTGCAGAACTGTCATGGACTAAAGGGACTAAGGAAGTCAGGAAGAGCCATTCCTTTTACCTCTGCACAGAACCAAGCGGCTCTCTGGCACTCGCCGAGCACCCTTAGACCTGGGATGGCATGGCCTCACTGGCACATCCTGGGCAGGGGTGGGGGAGAGGGTCCGCAGGAGGCCTCTGAGGGCGGGAGGTGTGTACTCAGAAGTCTGAAGGCTGAGTGATGACTTGCTTTCCATCAGCAGTCAGGCCTTCCACTGTGCTCACAGGCTGAGGGAAGCGCAGTGTGAGGCTAATGTTCCTGGGACTGGAGCAATGAGTAAGGACTTACACAACCAGCGAGGTGCAGACCAGAGCTCTGCAGTGTGAGGTTGGTTTCAAAGTGCTGGTAAGCACTGAGGTTTACAAAGCAGCTGGAGGCTCCTGGTGTCCTGATGGAGGGTGACAGGTGTGCTGCCTGACACATGCCTGCCTGTCCCCAGGGGACTGAAGAGCACCAGGCCTTGGGCATTAGGATCCCCCACCCTGAAAGACCAGGCCACAACCATCTGCTGTAGCTCAGCATAAGCACATTAATGTGAAGTGACAATTGAGTGACTTAAGCAGGTGGTCCCATGAGTAAGAGCTTCCTAATGTAACTGGAGGACCCAAATATGCTTGAATGCAGAGCAGGCTGGAAGTCAGTGTTTGAGGAGGGGTCCCGTGTCATCCTTATGTGGCCAAAGACACGAGAAATTTCTCACCCCTTCCTCGGGATGTGTGCTGAAGTCAATGCCAGAGTCAACGTGCAGATCCTCAGGAGAGGACTGTTTCCTGAGAGTGCTCTTTTCAGCCCCCTCCCAGGGAGAGGCTGAATAAAACTTCCAAAAATGGTCCTACCCATTTTTTCCTCAATAAATACATAGATCCAGCAGCCTACATCTTTTCTGGACTAAGGAAGGGAACATGGGGATATGTTTTTAAAAGACAATGTCTCATTTCAGTATGATGCTTAGAGGAAATATTAATTGCTTAAACAATGATTCATTTACTAAATGAGGGTGGATTTCTCCAGACCTGACAGACACTACCCGCCCCACTCTCGGCGATGGCCAGGGTGTGAAGACAGCTTTGGTGCTTGCGGTGCTGGGCCTGGCTTCATGGGGTCTCCAGGGGGTCCCCAGTGAACCCCATTGTGTCCTTGTGATATGACTGATGACAGCTAATGTCCCTTAGAACATTCAGATGCACCTCTGCCCATGTAAGAGCCTGAGAATTCTTGGGGTCAAGGAGTTTCTTTAAGATATGTCATTGGACATGCTAAAAATGTTTCACCCAGGAGGTGTTTTCCCTCATACCATGGAACACGTGGAGTGCATCGTTTTCTGAAGATTCCGAGTAGCTCACTCCCCATGGTTTTCTGTCAGAACCATGCCTTCCTTCCTCCTTGAACATACCACACAGTCTAATTATTTTGATTTTTTTTCTTTTTGTAATTGTTCTCCAGGACAAAAGCCAGGGCCAGCTGATGATCTTGTCACAGCGCCTCAGCCAGAGCTCAGTGAAAGGCTGCCAAAAAAGACTCCTGAATGGCCAACAAGTACCTGGAAACGTGCTCCATGACCTGAGTCATTGAAGAAGCAAAAAGCAAAACCACCGGGACTTATCATCCCAGCCCAGTTGGAGTGGCTGTCATCAGAAAAAGCAAGACAAAGGCTGGCAAGGATATGGAGAAAAGGGAACACTTGTATACTGTTTTGAGGAACGTAAATCAGTACAGCTATTATGGGGATCAGGATGGAGGTGCCTCAAAAAATTAAAAATAGAATCACCGCAGTGGGCAAATATCCAAAGAAAATGATGCCAGTATGTCAGAGACACCTCAGCCCATGTTTACTACGGCAGTGTTCACAACAGCCAAAACGGAGTGTCTGAATAATAAAGAAAATGTGGTATATATGCAGCGAGATATTCAGCCACAAAAAGAATGAAATCCTTTTGTGCTAGAATGGCCAGGACAGAAGGACATGGTGTTCAATGAAATAAACCCGGATCAGAAAGACAAATACCACATATTCTTTCTCAGATGAGGAGGCCTGAAAAGTTATCTCCACGAAGCGAGAACGATCGTGGTTACTAAGGCTGGGAAGGGCAGAAGGCAACGAGTATGGAGGGAGGTTGGATAACAAGAACCGAAATGCAGTGAGTCAGGAAGACCACGTTCTAATGCTGCACAGCATTATGGGGGGACCATAATTTACAAGAACCTACTGCATACTTTATAAAGAACTAGAAGCCCGGAGCTTAAAAGTTCCCCAAATAATGGTAAGGAGAAGGGAATGTTAATGTCCTGAATTTATTACGTATATCACGTTGTACCCTATAAATGTATATAATTATTATCTATATAAAAAGAAAAATGAAAATGAAAAAACTGCCCAGGAGACAAGGCTGGGCCTTAGACATACTGAGGATGGACAAGTCTGGCTTCTCTTTCCAGCTGCTGAAGTCTTACTTATCTGGAAAGCAATAGCTACTTCACAGGTTTCTCATAGTTATGCTTTTTGAGAGGGTCACCGACAGGGCTGGGCACCTCTGCTGGAAGAACTCCCTCCTGCTAGGATGGAGCAGTCGGTCCAACAGAGGGAGCCGCAGGAGTTCCCCGGGCCGTGTGTTGCAAGGTTCAATCTCTTGCTGCTGGGAGATAAAAACTGAGCCGGAAGACAACTTCCAGCCAGGAAGCACGGTAAGACTACTTAGTTACACGAGGTCAACCCAATGACCAACTTCTTTCTAGTAACACTTCTGAAAAAAGTCAAAGTAATTAACTACGGCATATCACGACAGTGTGAGAATCAGGTATCATTTCCCACATTTCATGACTTGAAAAAACCGATTAACCAATTCCCTTACCTGTAAATTTGAAAAAGTTCTTGAAAGACATAGAGGTGTCAATCCTTACTTTCCACAGCAGCTTTTATCTCTTGGAACTGAGGCATTTCGTCTTCACTTCAGGCCTGTCCACACCCTAAGAAAATCCTAGCCAGTCCTATGCCTGGACAAACTGGCTCTTTGCCAGTTGCCCACTTTCAAGCCACTGTGCCCCAACGGCCCGATGTGTGGTGCTGGAGCAGAGCAGACACCCACCTAGGCAGCACAGAAGCCTCAGCCCATGCATCTGCCAGGTTCCGTCTTTCTCACTGCAGCGTTTCTGGCACCCATGCCGCAGACCTAGAGAGAGGAGGGTGGACACAAATCGAGTCACACACTTAGAAGGACCTGGGAGAATCAGGATGCTACAAAGCTCAGTGTGGCTACCTGAAGACAGGGGCAAGCCCGGAGGTGTGTTTGTGCTCTCCCACCAGGCCCAGAGGAGAGCGGGCTCTGGTTACTACGGAGTCGAGCTTCTTCCTGCCTCTACCCACACTGACAGATGTGCCGTTCCCCGCGTTTCTCCCGCCTCCATGGTCTTCTGGTCTGGAAGGGAAAGGGCCCTTCTGTCGGAGGCTGGTCTACTCAGGGAACCCTGTCATAGTAACTCCCAGCCTTGTCCTAACATTCACCAAAGGCTTCTTAAATATTAAAAAACAAAACGCGGAAGGCTTGGGCTTTACCTCCATCAGTTCTCATGCTGGATAGTGGCCAGGGCTTTTCATTTCAAACCAGCCCACTAGGCGAGCCTTGTGCAGGTGCTTTCTTTGAAAAATGCACCTTCTCCATGGGCAGGGACTGTCCTCCTCATCTCATCTTATTTTTACCAGCTCATTTCCTAGCTTGCGAATATGCTCAAGCCATCTCCATGCAGAGAGAATGTTCTCTCAGCCCTCTTGTCTGTATTCCTTTATCCCCAGGATTTCCTGAAGGAGCAAATCCTTGTGTGTTCCTGCACCTTCCCCTCTTCCATTCTCTGCCACCCAGTGCCTGTCCCCACCACTCCACGCATGTTCCTATTACCACGAAGACAAATGAAACCCACCCATCAACCACTACTGCCTTTGAAGGAGCCTGCAAGGCCCACCTGACTCCGCTCTCCCTGTCCGGTTCCCTGTTGCCGCTGCCTTTCAGCCCCTGGCTCTCTTAGGCTGTCTTGAGGCGCAGAGCTCTCTCCAGCTTCCGAGCCTGGGGGTGACACTGTCGGCAGCCCTGGGTCCTCACCAGAAGTTACTTCATGTTCTTGCAGCTTCCATATCCATATCAGAGAGGTCTTGCTGCTTCCCCGAGTTAGAAAGCCGGAGTGCGCTCTCTCTCAGAACCCCTACTGTTAGGTTTCCCTTGCCTTAAGATGGCTGCCACATGGAACAGCAGCCTCCATGTTAAAATATGGTTTCTGCCAACAACAGGCTGCCTCTTCCCAACACGTCCCTCTTCCCGCCAAGAGACTAACCTGCTACTTCCTCCCTCCTAGCAGCTAGTGATGTCACAAGCCCCTCCCAGTGATGTCACAAACCCCGCCCAGCGATGTCACAAAGCCCCTCCAATCCCTAGACACTACGTCACTCAACCCCACCCAGCTCCTACAGAAGCAGCTCCCTGTTCCGTCATGTTGCTTTCTCTCCGTTCCAAGACGGCCCGGCAGATCCTTCCCATAATAAAGGCTTGTTATGGTCCTGGTCAGGTCCTGGTTTTCAACTCTTTTTACTTAACACCTACTACTTTCCTTCAAACACATGTTCTGATTGATGTGCTTTTTACTTAGCTCTGCTTCCCCTTACCAGGTTATGAATTCCAAAGGCTGGTGGCTTTATGTGTGCCGTTCATCACTGTGCCGAGCCCAGTTCCTGGATCACAGTGACGCTCCACTTTGAGGCAAAGCGAATCTGTGAAGCCGTTTTGTCGGAGTCCCCCGAGTGACTTCTAGATTTGCACCCGAGCGCGTGGCTGAGCAGCAAGGCTGAGTCCGCCCGGCCCTGCGTCCTCCACTAGAGGCCCAGCGTGGTGAGCCTCATCCTGGCTGATCTCCGTGCCCCAGGGGCCTTGGGGAGCTTTGCTTTTTAACAATTTCACTCTAAAAGAATGTCGAAAGCCAACTTTCTTCCTCTGTATAGGTCGCTCTGTAATTACGGATAATCTCAGTTACTCTCCTGAGACCTTTCCTTTGTTGGTCTTTGCAGAGTGAGTAAAATAAAAGGACTAAATCATTCACTTCCTGTGCAGCATGGTGAGATTCAGGGCGTGGCCTCTCAATGTCCCGCCTGTACCCTCCCGGTTCCTGCGTGTAAGGCCTGTAACGTTCCAGTCCAAACCCATTGCACTTTTCTTCTTGGGGGCATAAATCTGCTGGCAACAATAATTATACCCAACTGGGTAATGTCGTGTGTGGTGTGCACTGTTAGTGTGCCTATCTGCTGTTAAATGGGATGGGACTTAAGCGGTACTTTTACCCTGAAAAAGCCTTCCCCTCCCTGAAGCTGCTGTCTGCTCAGAATCCCGGAGCATGCGTGCACACACAGGCCCAGCGTGAAAATCTCGCCAACCATCAGATCCCCTCGAGACGTTTCCTTAGCAGATGAGATGCTCTGGTTGAAAGTTTGCGCGTTTTGTCATTTCTTTTATTATTTAAGAAAGTTTTGACCAGGCATGGTGGCGCACACCTGTAATCCTAGCACTCGGGAGGCTGAGGCAGGAGGATCGCCGTGAGTTCGAGACCACCCTGGGCTACATAGTGAGTTCCAGGTCAGCCTCAACTGCATAGTGAGACACCGTCTCAAAAAACCAAAAGAGAATATTTTGAAATGTAATGGAAGTGAAACCAAAGTAAGAAATATAATTGTTGCAAAGGAAGAAAATAAATAACCACTCTTGTTAAATGGCAGGGCTAGAAAATACATGATAATCATTTGTCTAGAATTAATTTAATGGGATGTAAAAGAAACACTTAAAAATCAGTATAACACTACTACTCTAATGGGTTTACACACAGCATCCTGTGATGGGGATTAGGTAGAAGGGCTCCAGATTCACACACACATCAACTCTAATTATGTCTTTGCTGCTACTCGCAATTTCTGGCATCACTGCCAACTTAATCTTGCCCCATATTATTTTTATCTGACTTATTGGCAAGTAGGGCTCAGTGCTAACTTAATTGTTAATGAAACAAAAAGAGGGAAGGCTCAAGAAGCCACTCAGCAGTGTACTGAACCTCTACTCTTGTCAGGCTTTCTGCTAGACACCTGAGTTCAAAGAATGAAGGCCCAGTGCTCATGGGATGAGCAGAGAAGGGTGTGCAAAAGCTCCCAGTTTGGACCATGGGAGCAGAAATAGTATTCACAGAGAAGAGCAGGTTTGGGGAGAACGTGGTGCATTCTGACTTGGAGATAAGGACTTGCATTTCCAAAGAGCTGTCTACATGATGATATCCACTAAACGACTGTGGGGTGGGAGGACAAGCTGAGTGTGGTGGCACACGCCTGTGATCCTAGTACTCAGGAGGCTGAGGCAGGAGGATTGCTGCAAGTTTGATGCCAGACTGGGCTACATAGTTTGAGGCCAGCCTGAGCTACATCGCAAGACCCTGCCTCAAGAAGACCAAACAAAAACAAAAACCAGTGAGAGAATAGGTAATTTGATACAAATAGAAAGGGCAGAAGTGTCCCCGGAGCACATTTAAAGCCAGCCCTTTAGACAATGCCCAAGAAAGTCAAGAAAAACTGAACAAAGTTAAGTATTGTACTATGCAATGACTCTGAGGGCCAAATTATACTTAATATGAATTTTGACAATCAAAATTCAAAATTTCTCCAGAAATTCTTGGACAAGAAAATGAAAAAGGGGGTGGTTGGTGGAAAGAGCAGCAATGGAGATTCTGAATTGAGGTGAAGAACTCTGTTCCCACAGAAGGGGGCCCGTTTCAGGGGCCAGTGATGCTCCCTGCTCCCCCTTACTGCCTGTCTCTTCCTCACAAGTGAGCAGGCAGGGCTGTCAGCCTGCATCACTTGAGAGAAGCTCCTACTGCTATTCTTGTTCTGATCCCTGCTATGCCTTGGTCTCCCTTGTCTTACACCTGTGTCCATGCTGCAGAGGAGGGTGCTGCCTTAATTAGGGGTAAGCATTGAAAAGCTATCACCGTAATGTGTGCCAACACTAACAAGCCACCGATGTGTAGAGGAGATAATGCTCACAATTCTACCCTGCTGGGGTCCGACCGTGCACCATGTTCATATATGTATACCAAGCCCCAGTCTAACCTGGGTAGACTCCTGGAGAATTTAAGTGGCCCAAGGTGAGAGTTTTACCCTTTGCAAGTCCCAGTAGGGCCATTTACCCTCACTGACTCCTGTTTAACAGAGACAGTCGTAATTAATGCTAAAGATGTCTCTGGGGGCACAGGGCCCTTCCTTCTGATTATTCCTGTTGCCAGGGAACAAACCCAGGGCCTCTAAAAGACCTGTAAGAGAAGATCTGCAGCACTGGCTTCAAACTCTCTTGTTCCTAGTCTTGGCTTTCCCTTCTCTGCTCTTTCCTCGCTCTCTTTGCCAAATGTGGGCTCAGTCAGTGCTGTGGTGTTAACACTGCAGCCCATCATGAGCCAACTCGCTGACTCACATCCAAAGAGCAGATCAGCGCTGTCCCCAGAATGGAGACAAAAGCAAGCAGGGCAGAAACAGGAGGCTGGGAGCTTCCTGGAGAGCCTCTCTTTGTTCACGGTCTCACTGCTGCCTGAGGGGAGAGGGCAGGAAGGATCTGAGACGTGAGAGACTCCCAGGAGAAAAATACTGGGCTAATACAGAGGGGAGGCTGCCAGTTTTATTCTGTGTGTGCTCATTTGTGTGCCTGTATTTTAAAGCAACTCCAATCATACGAAATTGTTTTTTCAACTGAGTATACTATCTATATTGTTATCTATATTATCTAGACTGACATGCAATTACCAGAATACAAAGAGAGCCCACATATGCTTTTCAGGTTTTCTCCATTTACAGAATTTTGCAAACTTATAGTTTAATATCACAACTGAGATATTATACCATTTCAGATTTCCCCAGAATTGCTTGTACTTTGTGTGTGCGCGCACATGCGTTTAGTTCTATAAAACCTATTACGTATATAGAACTGCGTTTCCACCACTATAGTCAAAATGCCAAATACCTCGCCGTCACTAGAATCCTGTGATCCTGTGTGGCCCAGTTACAACCACATCCACCTCCTCTGTCCCATTTCTCATTCAACCCCCAACCCCTAACAACTACTATTCTTAGATTTCAAAAATGTTATGAAAGTGCAGTGATACAGTACGTAACTTTTGTGATTTTCTTCTCACTCTGCATAATGCTCCTGATTTCCATTCAGGTCATTGTGTGCATCAAGAATTCAGTCCTCTTAACTACTGATTAGTATTCCATGGTGTGACTCGATTGGTAGGTAAATCACGTCTGAAGTGCCTTTCTTCTAGATAAGCATACAAAGGGCTATGTTATTGTTGCTCAGTCTTTTATTATTACCTTATACAATTTTTATTGATGATAAATATTATGTATTTACATTTAACTTTTAGTTATTTTTGTTTTGTTTGTTTCCTTGGTTCTTGCTCCTTTGTTTAGTTTCTTGATTACTTGAGCAACTTCTTATATTTAAAGTGTTTTTTGAGTGTATTAAAGTTGTTTTACAGTTTGCTGGGGGTATTATAGTATAAATACATGACTTGTCCCGGTCTACTGATGTCAACATTGTATCAACTGTGCTGTGTGGAGTCTCATTCCAACTTAGGTCTCTTTCCCTTCTTTATCATATTTCATTGGCTTGAGCATCAGATAGTATTTGTCGTTTTCCTATCTTCTTTCCTTTTGTTGAAAAAATTTAGATAATGGTAGCTAATAAAAAGCACGCAAACAAATCAACAGGCATATGCTAGTGAAAAACACAACGTAAAACTAAAATGCCACTGGTTTCTTTAATTGGTTAAAAGCACAAAACTCAGCAGGCATTTAATTAGTTAACAGCACAAAATGTCATTAGTTTTAAACAAATTAAAAGGTTGTTTAAAAATTCACCCTAAATGAGATATGTACACAACCACAAAACTGGTATGTGCAGGAAAGCCTTTGGACATAAGAACTTGTATCCCGAAGTCCTCTGAGAAATAGTTGTTGAAATAGGAAGGTTAACAAGTTTTGAACACTTCGTGGCAAACCCTACATGCCACGAAAGCCATACTGTGCAAAGCACTGCGACTAACGAAGGACACATTCTACATAGCTTTCAGCGCAAATGCTTTTCCAGAAAAGCAAATCCGAACACAGTCATCAGCAGACAAAGGAAGCTACAGCTTCTCATATCTGTGCTAGAAAGTCCTATGCATCCGGGAGGGGCTCAAGTTTCAGGTTATGACAGAGACATTTTTAACATTTCTTACTTCACGCATTTTAAACTCCGTTCTACCCCGTTCCCTCCCCCACTGGGTAGTGGGCTCTCTGCTTCTTCCCCCGCACCAGGTAGCGACACATCCAGCAGTAAGAGGCCCGCTTCTAGAACTGGGGATCCAACGGATCCTTGCATTTGCGAGGCAGGCGCTGGAACCACGGAGCTAAATCCCCGGCCCGTCCTGCTGCTGCTGCTTTATTCCCCCTTGAAGAAGGTTGTATTTGTCACCAAAGCTTTTGAGACAGGAGAACAGCTGCCAGGTATCACTGGTATCCATCCCTGGAGGGTCTTTCCTGTAAGCCACAAAGAAGACGCTAAGCTACTCATAAGAAGCATAAGTGAGCTGCGGAGCCCGCCTTCACCAAACAGGAAGTGACGCATGAGCCCGTCTTCACCAAACAGGAAGTGACGCACGAGCCCGCGCTGACTGGGACTCGGGGAAGGGAAGTGTGAAATTCCAGACCACAGGCAGGGAGGCCAAGAAACGGCATATGGGACAGATGGCGAGGCGACTGTCACCAACCAGAACTCCCCTCATACTTGCACTTTTCCAGAATCACCCAAAGCAGTTTTCACGGCTGACCCATCTCACGTGTCAATTTTTACAGAATTATCATCAGTCTTTCTCGTATCCAACAAGCCTGCGTGGCTGCTGCCTGTCCTGCAGCTGGGGCCGTTACCAGCCCCAGCACCCCCTCTGCCACCACTCTCTGTCCTGTGCTGCCACCACCTCCATCCTGTCTCCAGATAGTGTTGAAACTTTGGCGCAATCATCAAATATGATTTATAAAGCTCAAGAAGAGAATGGTCTATTGTGCAACCCACATTTCTCTTATTTCTCTTGTTCTTTCCCAATGTTTCAGGACTCCCCGTTTTCTGTTTGACAAACTACTTTGGCTAGACTTTAACATGTCTGTGAAGGACAAATTGTTTTAGTTTTCACTATTCTAAGGATGTCTTGCTTTTCTTTTCATTCCCAAAATGTAGTGTTCCCAGACATAAAAAATTCATGATTGAATTTTTTTCCTCTCAAATACTCTTAAATACTTGAAAAATGTGCTATTTTCTTCTGGTCTCTATTGTTTCAGATGAGCAATTACTGTCATTTGAATCATTTTCCTCCTACATGTAATATGTCATTTACTTCTAGTTTCTTTCAAGATTTTCTTTTCCTTTGTCCTGAAATGGATTTCTTTGGGTTTATCCTGTTTGAGCTTTACTCACCTTTTTGAATCTGTAGGTTTGTGTGTATCAGCAAATTTGGGGGGCTTTCAAGAATTAAAATATTCTCTCATCCCCACTCTCTCCTCTTCAGGGAGTCTAGTGGCAGAAGCTTTAGACTTTTTAAATAGTCCCATCGGTTTTTGAGACTATACTTTTTTTGGCGGGGGGTAACCCAGGTATTGAACTTCGGACCTTGCAAGGCAGGCAACGGAACCACTGAGCTAAATCCACAGCCCTGAGACTATTCATTTTTTACAGTCTATTTTTTCTCCATTTTTAGATTGTTGTTTAAGTTGGACAAATTATATCTTCAAGTTCAGTGATGCTGTCCTCTGTATCTGTTTGTATCTGTTTTTCTACTGAACCCATTCAGAAAGTTGTCTGTAAAATTTCTGCTATTGTGTTTCTCAGTTCTCTAGTTTCCATTTGGTTTTTTTATAATAATTTCTATTTGTGCTGAGACTTTGTAAATATTTCTATTTGTTTTAAGAGAATTTTTAATTGATTTTTGAAGCATTCATATGACAGCTGTTTTTAAATCCTTATCTGATAATTCCAACATTTTATTCATCTGAAGTGTTGATGTCAGTTAATTGCCTTTTCTCAGTAATGTGATTTTCCTGGTTTTGGCATAGTGGGTGATTTTGGGGGTTGTTTGTTTGCTTGTTTTTGTTTTTTTGACACAGGGTCTTGCTATGTAGTTGAGACTGACCTGGAACTCACTTTGTAGGCCAGGCTGGTCTTGAACTCACAGCGAACCTCCTGCCTCAGCTTCCCGAGTGCTGAGATTACAGGCATGTGCCACGACACCCGGCTAACTCTGGGTTCTTTTTAAGGCTTTTTTTTTTAGTAGGCAGGAACTCTGTAAAGCTTAGTACACAGGCTCTGGATTACTTCCATGGACCATGGTTCCAAATCAGTTCTGTTTCAGAGTCTTTGGGCTTCTTGGTTTATCATTGGTGTTGGAGCTATCAGTCTCTGCCTGTGGCATCTGAGGAGTGGAATGGGGCCCCCCAGGTTGGGCCACCTCTTTGTCTTTTGGAGGAAGGAGAATCTCAGGCCATTGGAGACAAAGAGGCTTCCTGGGCTTGGCCTGCCATCTTACTGGCCTCCCGCTGCAGGTTCTGCCCATCCACCAGATGGTGGGAATCCCTCATTTGCATCTTCCCAGGTCTGTAGCCGTGTGCCAGTCAGCTTTCCATTACTGTGACTGATACCTGAGATAGGTCAATTTAAAGAGGGAAAATCTTCATTATGCCTTGAAGATGAGAGGCTTTGGCCTGGCTCAGTTGGCCCCATTACTTTAGACCTGTGGTAGGCAGCACACGATGGCAGAAAAGCTCATAGTAGAGCAAGGTGGCTCATCTTGTGGTCTGCAATGTAAAAAAGAGGCAGAGTCCAGGGTCCCCAAATCCCCCTTGATGGCAACACCCACAGTGACCTAAGAATTCACATGAGGCCCCTCAAAGACTCCCACTTCCCAGTAGCACATGGGACTTTTGGGGGGTCCAGCCCTGAACACACTGGTCTTTGGGGACATTCCACATCCAAACCGTAGTGATATCTAGGCTAAGGCCAAGGCCGGCTGTGCTGCACAGCTGCAGGTCTAGAGCTGGCACTGAGTGCACAAGAGGGTGTGAATGGCAGGTTGGCTCTGCTGTTGCTCTTCAGCCCGCAAGGCTCTTTGAAATGCAGCTTCTCTGTGTGACTCATTTGGTTAATGGAATGCAGGCAGAAGTGATAAGTGTCACTCATAGGTGGCAACTTCAAGAGCCACAAGGATCTTTGCTTTTCACTCTTCCTCCCTGGGTCATGATCACTGATGATGTTCCAGACAGCAGCTGCTCATCAGTCAGCTCACGTTCCAAGGAGAGGATGCTGACAGCTCAGAGCACAGCCCCTGTGGCCCGTGGAGGGCGCGCCATGGGTGTGAGTGGGAACCTCTGTATGCGAGGGTTATCAACACAGCATCGTTGTTACAGCTTAGATCTAGAATGTCCCCCGAAGCCCCATGCATGCAGAGGTAGGGCTTCTGCGATGTGATTGGGTCACAGGGTCCATACACCATCAGAGGTGGATCTGCTGATAACCACAGCTGAATGTTCAGGGTCCGGCTGGGAGAGACAGGTCACGGGGCAAGGTGGGGGTGACCAGAGGGTGCATCTCCCTCCCTGGATCTTCCCTTCCCTCTCTGCTTCCTGGCTGCCATGATGTGAGTGGCTTTTTGCTAGCTGTGCCCCTCTGTCATGATGGTTTTGACTGTGGCTGCGACTTCTCCTCCTTTAATTTGTGGGTGTTAGGTATTTTGTCCCAGTGAAGAGAAAGTGACAAAGACAGTCATGGGCCTCTGCAGTGAATTTTGCTGAAGAAGTGAGAGTGGAGGTAATTTTGATATGGTTGTAGAGTATTAGAAATTCACAAAAACGTGTTTCTTAAAATTTACGTTCATTAAATATTTTATTTACTCAGCTTGTGCTCCTAAAGAAACATAACAATTGGAGTTTTACTGTAAAGAAGCAAGAAACCACAAATTTGGCTGGCAGCAGCCATAGCAGATCACAGAACCTAAGTGTAGGAAGCTGTTTGTTTTTGGAAAACTGTGAGGTTAGTTGTATTTTCAGTTTTCAGAGAGTTTCTTTTTTTCTCCATCCCCAGAATGGGCTCTAATATTGAGGATTCTTGACATCTGACTTTGCTTATGCACAAATTTTTGCTGTTCACATCATTTGCATGTTTTGGTCATTTTTCTTGTAAATTTCCATCTTTGGCTTATAGCCTTTTGTTGGGATCTGAACAGACCATTTGTGAGATATGGTTAGCATGATTAAAACCCCAAGCACAGCCTCTGGACACAAATAAACAGGGAAATAGACAGGGAAACTGGATACCATCATAGAGGAAAAAGACATCTTACTCGGAGCGATAAACCCGCAGTACTTACATTCTTGCTAGATGATGTTTCTCACATTAAGCTGGCCATGACTCTTGCTCCCATGTTCTGATGTAATTTGTTACTATGGAGATCTCCCAATCATTTAACGAGGAATCAGAGTACTTTCTGTCAGATTGTAAGGAAGGAATCTGTGTAGTTTTTAAAAATAATATCGGATTAGGAAAAGTGCAATAACTTTAAAAATGAAATGAGAATGCACCCTTGAATCGGAGACTCACAGGGACCTTTGACCAGTTAAGTGCCTGGGACAAATTTGTCACTCACGGCTGTCCCCAGATACCCTTTTCTTTTGTAGATACCTATCGCATCCTGGCCATTCCCTTTTTTCTTTCATAGTTTTCTTCTATAGCTGCTAGTCCTTACTTTTTATTCTCAAAAGTTCTGTCTTCTACAAGTCTAGCAATGGAATCTACCCTTCCTCCTCATCTACTGGTCCTTTTCTGATGTTCTAACCAAGGCATGCTGTGGACTTCAATATTTTAAGAATTTTCTTATCCCACAGATGCTTTTCAAATGTGCTGTGCACCAAAAGAGAGGAAGATGGGGTTAGATGATATTGCAATGCTATTAAACTCTGTCCTCTTGTTGAGTTTTAATAGTTTTTTTCTTAAACACTCCTAGGATTATTGTCAGATTTTGCTTAATTTCAAGAATTTTTAAAGAATGTTGACAAGTTTTTGTCGGTGTCTCATTGCTTTCATGGGGAAGTGGGTAACAGAGCTCATCAATCTATCATCACCATAGTAAATTTACAATAAAAATGATAAAGAAATATATTCACAAAATAGTGAATTTAATAAACATTTGCTGAATGACTAGTTTTGATAAGCACAGGGCCAAGTACTGGCAATCTAAATGGGGAAAAAAGTTAACCTTAAAAAGCTAATCATTCAAAAAGAAAGTTGGAACATAGTAGAAAAAGTGAGAGAATAATTAAGACTTCTTCAAGACTTAAGTAAAGGCAGTCTGGGAAGAGAATAAAGGGAACAGAACTGCTTCCACCTACATCTTGAGAAAGACAAAGCATAAGAATTATAAGAATGCTGTAAGAAGAATCCTTACATGTTGGATTTTGGCCCTAATTTTAAAGTTTTCATTTTATTTATCTTTATTTCTATCTGGGGTATAGGAGAAGGAACAAAGGAAAATTAAGGGAGCAAAAACTACCATAAGTAAAGTGAAAAATTCCTTACAAGGACTTAAGAGGAGATTTAAAATGGCAAAACAAAAAATTAACCAACTTGAAAATCAATTGAGATTATCCCAGTCTGATAAATAGAAAAATAAAAGAGTGAGGAAAAATAAAGAATCATAAAAACCTGTAACACGGTACCAAGGACACCAAACGACCTGCAATGGTGGCCCAGGAATAAGGAGAGCAAAATGGGTATTGGAAGAAACAATGGTCAACTATAAAGCACTTGACTGCCAGGAAGATGGCAGAGTGGTAAACAGCAACAGTCAACCTCTCTGAGATTTGGAAACCAGACACAGGACTATAACAACTTGGACAAGAAAAGAAGGAAAGAGGTGACCTCCCCGCCAGGACCTAGGAAAGATCTGAAGAGGAAATTGGAGCCCACACAGAAAGTGAAGAGACAACAACACAGAAAAAGGAGAAAGCAAAATTCACCATGAGAAAACTCTGCACCACTAGCTTGGTCAGGATAAAAATGTAAATGTTAATAAATATTGGCAAGGACCCTGGAATCCTCAATGGATTAATGCTTAAGTAATATAATACTATTTAGCAGTACAAATAAATCAGCTAACAAGTTATGAAAAAATATGAAATCAATTTAAATACACATTACTAAGAACATACCCTAAAGGCTATGGATTGTATGAGTCTGAGTATACCACATTCTAGGAAAGATTAAGTTGTAATTATAGTAAAAAGATCAGTCACTGATAGGGCACAGAAGGGAGAAAGGGATGAATAAGTAGAATGCAGAGAATACTTGGAGAAATGGTTATTGTGCACGATATTGCATTAGTATATGTGTCCACACACCCGTAAAATGCATAGAGAACAGCAATGCAAGTGTGAATCCTGCACCAACTATGGCTTAGGTGATAATGACTTGTCACTGCAGGTTCATGGATTGCAACAATGTGGCATCCTGGTGGGGGTTCTGATAGGCAGGCTGCAATGTACGGGGACAGAAAGTATATAAAACTCTTGGTATTTTTCCTCTCCATTTTTCTGAGGACTAAAAATAGCTTTTAAATTAAAAATGTAAGTGGAGGGAAGGAGGGAGGGAGAGAGATAAAGAGGGAGGGAGAGAGAATATTGCCCTCTCACTCTTCTTTGATGCACTACGTACAAAGGTCGCTTAATCCTCCCATTAATTATTTAGTCTACAGGTATTGTTGAATATCTAATATATGCCTGCGGTTCCTGGTTTGGGTTAGAAATGAATTCAAGTGCTCTTTACATGCTCCTTGCCTGGCACACAAAGATTTGACCAACCCAGGACACACACTGTCACTCGTGCAGCTGCTGGTGAACATGACAACATTATATATTGTTACAGCCAGCTGGGACCAGGCTTGGTAGTCAGTGAACTATTAATTATTTGGCACAGACAATAACTATGAAAAGGCTTGGTGCAGGAGGAAAGAAGCATTCAGTGTTCATCAAGTGATGAGTGAACAAATCACAGTGCACCAATATAGTACAACACCAACCAACAAGCTACCGATACACAGTAACACAGATGAATCTGAAAAACATGCTTAGCAAAAGCAGCTGGGCGTGAAAGACTATATACTTAATATTCCATCCATAGTAAGTTCCGAGCAGGCAAAATTAATTGATAGTGACCGAATTATCAATGGACCATTGAGTTGTTGTGGAAGGAACTGGTAAGTGACACACAGAGACCCAGAAATGTGTAAAACAAACAAACAAACAGTATCCAATATAAACACGAAAAATCATTCCCTGTAACCAGCTTATGTCCTAGGGCCTGTATATATGGTTCTTTTGTCCCCGTTTACAGTTACCGTAATTGCCACTATCTCTGGTAACATCAGTATTTAACCATACTTGGGTTTTATCTGAATAGTGTGCCTTTTCTTGCGTATATCCCCCACAGTCGAGTACGGTACCTGGGTTTCCATAATGTACTCTCGGGCAGGCATCAAAGAAGAGTGTGAGGGGCTCTCCCTCTGGTTCCCATTTAATAGTTTTAAAAGTTACATGTTTTTTATCACACCTATCAGCTTTAGGCTTATAGATTTTTAATTCAAAAACAAAATAATCCGTAACCATTTGACACAATAAAAGAGCCCATAATATCCTGATTGTAGTCCTCATTCTTTACTCGTGTGTTGACTGTCTACAGAGTGACAGGAGCAGGGCTTTGAGTGTGCTGCCTCTTGGGGTTACGATCATACACTCAAGAACAGTTGGTTTAGTATTTGCATTCCCCATGATCACTTGATATTCCCTTCTGGTGATGCAGAACAAAGGGTGGGTGCCACTCACAAAGGCACAAATATACACTCACCTGCCTGGCTGTGGGGCCTCTCGGCCACTTTCAAACCCATCTAAGGAACACTGTAGCATTAGTGTTCCATTTTGCTCATATTAGATGCTGGCCATGGAACACAACATAGGCTCTGCGACTTGGGGAGGGATCTTTAAGTGTATGTGCCCCTCCCTTTGTCTTGGTGCACAGATGAGACTACCTATTGTTTTTATAGCTTGTTCCACTCAACTTTTACACACACAATCACATGAGAAGTTAACATATTCCCTCCCCAGGTCCCCTTATGAAGTACGATAACAAATTGAGGGTATATATATCCCTGTAGCCCAGGCTGGGGCAAATGGAACCCTCACAAATGGCAAAGAATGGAGGGTGAATACGTCTCCACTGTGTATCTTGCCCAAAATTGAACAAAGTCCAAAGCAAAAGCAAAGCAAACTAGGGAATGGGCCAGGGATTTAGCTCAGTGGTTCCACTGCCTGCCTTGCAAGCACAAGAATCCGAGTTCAATTCCCAGTACCAAATCAAAACAAAACAAAACAAACAAAAGAAAAAAAACCCTAAAGGTTGCTCAGGGCGTCTCACCACTCATACAGATGATCCTGTTTACTCAGCTGCCCTTCTGCTGTCTCTGTTCTGGGTTTGAGTGATCCACTGCTGGTGAGCTGGCCTCTGAGTCCTAGAGAGGGAACCCAGGAAATCCTGGGGTTGTGGCTCTTCCCTTCTAAGGAGGGGGATGGCTTGTCGCGAGCAGCAACGTCAGGATCCCGCCAGCAGGTCCTAAACCTGAAAGGACGAGGACAGAGAGACAGGAGGCACTTTTCTTCTCATGGTCCTTGCTTGCTTTATTACAGAACCTCTCCTTTTTATACTCTCCAGCCACAAGGTTGCAAGAGGAAAAAAGAGTGCCGCCCACACATTCCAGCAGGAAACCGTAGTACAACAACAACTATTATGGGTTACATTTGCTAGGCAACAGGTCAGACCACCAGTTGAACTAGCCCGTTGTTATGGGCGACGGCACATCCACACTGCTCGGGTGAATCACAGGTCAGTGTGGCTGTGCTCATGTCGTGTTCCTTTACAATGCTCTCCATAACGGCTGTTCCTTCTGGTTGGACTCGGGCTGAGGCCCAACACAGGCCATGTCAGTTAACCCTTTCTTTCCTGGCCCATGCATCAAAATGTTGCAAAAGGAACTGGTAAATGACACACAGAGACACAGAAGTAGGTAAAACAAAACACAAAAAATATTTACTTTGCTAGCAAAGGGTTGGCCTGCAATAAAGGCTGACCAACCCTGGGTTGGGTTACAATCTGTCTTTTATAGGAGTGTTACAATCATGACCTCTTTTTAGGTGGTAAGATATTCTAGATCCCACAGCTCCCATCACAAATCATGGTCACAAAACAGTTCAGTGTTAACTCAAATGTAGTGTTTTCTTCCAGGATGTTTATCTTTAGCTATTCCAACCCACAAAAGTGGGGCTCAGGGCTAGGAAAGCAGGACTGGTGACATTCCTTTTATCTTGGCTCCTCTATTTCAGACTATTTACAAGAGTTCTCTCTATTGGAGTGGTGGTAGAGGACCGACTGTGAAAGGTCAGGATGGGAATAATCTTGACTTCATAGGGAAGGTAGTTACACAGGAGTGTCCATTTGTTAAAAGTCATCAAACTGCATATATAAAAAAGTAAATATATAAAAAAGTATATATATTTATATATAAGAATGGGAGTCATATATATTTATGTATGCATATTTATATATAATATAAATGACATGGTTATAAGTTTACTTCAAAAGCCAAATACCATTATGAAGATCATATTCTAACATGACATGGTTGTGTTAAAATACAAGTTAAGAAAAAGAAAAGATTCATTTGAGCTAGAAACCCCAAGAAGAACATATTCGAAAGGGAGCGAGCAGGTTAGCTTCCCACATGGCAGGATGCTTGGTCAAGGTCCTCATATTGACATCTTGAAATTCTTACTACTTTCTGAATGGAGATGTCCTGGTTTTCCTTTTCATCGTGTCCCTCAGATTAAGATACCTCCTCCCTTGGAAGCAGACATTTGTAGCCATCAAGTTGTATTTAGAAATCATAATTCCATCCCTTGTTGTGCCTCTCCAAGTGCCAGGAAGGATGTTGGATACTAAAATATCATCGCTTCATCCACATCAGAAGGCTCAGAAAGGCCATGCAAGCTCAGCCAGTCTGTGGGAAAGATAGATTTAAAATCCAAGCTCATTTTTTTCTTTCTTTTTTTTTTTTTTTTTTTTTTTTTTTTTTGTTTTTATTTTCAGGTGTTTATATCATTTATTTAAATTCATGATTCATGTTTTGATGGGATTTTTAAAAACATTTGCAAGGGATAAAGAAAGCGCCCCACTGATGTGATTATGTGCAAAGACTTCATTTCACTGCACCTTGAATGTCTTCATCACTTTTTTAACAATGCCCAGAAACAACAAGAAAAACTTAAGAGTGCTGTTTATGAGGTAGTCTACGTACCTTAAGAAGTATTTATATTTATGTCTTAACAGTGTGGTAGCCAATTAAAAATAATATGTACAAATTGAAAGAAAAATCACATTTTACTTTTATTTATAATCACAAGCTTTTACTAAGGGTATGTAGGAGCATCACCAGATGCTAATCCTATCTAAAGTCTTGGAATTGGATTGGACATACTCCTTTCTTCCCACATTTATCACTGCAATCACCAAAAACCCAGCTTTGCATAGATATGACATCACAAAAAGGAATGTAGGGACCCAGTATTAAAACTGTCTCCTATTGTGCCGGTAGTTCCTGAGGGGCCTCACAGATGTTGCTTTATCTCCTTCAAAAAATGAGAATTATCTAGGTGGCTCTGTGCCCCCCTGCAGTGCTTCCCCAAACAACACCCCCACAGGGTGGGCAGCGCAGCCTAGCTCATCTTCTCTGCAGGAGGGTGTCAGATGAGCAGGCACGCGCCCCAGCTCCCCACCATGAAAGTGTTTATTATGCATCACAAAAATAGACTAATAAAAATATTTTTAACATCTCAGATAAGAAAAAAAAGGAGCACAAGAATCGTGTACACATGCACGTGTGCGTGCAGGTGCCCATCTGTGTTACTAGGGTCAAAGCCAAAGCTTCGTGCATTCTAGGATAGTTTTCTACCACTACCTCAGTTTAAGAAATGTATTTTTAAAAAATAAAGAGCCACAAAAAGAAGCTTTTATCTTACTTACTCAGTGTCACAATATAATTACAACGGATATAAGTTTCACAATTTGACTTTGACTTTTCTTTAACTTATAAATGAAATGTAATGTCAGGTGGAGAGAAAACCACTACTTACATGCTTTCTAATTTGAAAGCCAGAACTGTAGTAATGATCACATGCATAACAAATTTCAAGACTTAGGTGGTAGTTAAACAACTGTTAGCAACCAAATGTGGCTCTTTTGCTCTTACCTCAAAAATGCCTATATGTGGAAAACTGAAACTATACCCAACCACTCACTCGTTTCTAGTTACATTCAATATAGAAGAGCAGTAATCCTCTTTGATCTTTCTAATAAGAACATAACACAAAGTAATTGTTGGTTATAATTTGTAATCAGTAACATGTTATTAGTGGGCTGGTAGTTGATTTTCTGTAGAAGGTCTTAGGTAGGTGGGATTTTCTTTTTGCTTGATTGCTTTATTTCTATGTTACTTCGAGAGGGATGGAGATTTGATTTTAATGAAATAAAAAGAGTTTTACATCTTGTTTCATTGATTGTATTTTCTTTTGAACATTGACCGGCTATGTGCTTATTAAAAAAAAAAAAATAAGTGGCTACTGCCATCTGTTGGAGGGAATTGAGTCCTGCTGAGCCACACAGAGCCTTAAATATCCAGTATCTATCTGTCCTTTTAAGCAGGTAACTTATATACTAAAGCGAAGTTTCTCCCTTTGATCTGTGTGTGTGGTTCCTGCCTTTACCCTTGGAACTTAGTTTATTCTGAGAGTTTTCTTTCTATGGTGGCAGTGTGTTTTCTTTTTGGAAGTTTAAGTTTTTTTTTTTTTTTCTACTGAAGTCCTATGGTGTTTTCTTCTTCCTAAGAGCGAGGCAGGGCTGTGGAGCAGGGGGAAGTGGCTACGTGTGTATGTTTAGGAATGAATGGTAGTACATTGCCTTAGGTTAAGCAGCAGAGAAGAGCTGTTACTGAAATGTGGTGTGTTTTGAAGCCAGCGGTTTTGTTTCTCTGGGCTTTGGTTTCCTCATCCTTAAAATGAGATGGCCAGACTAGAAATGAGGAAAACCTTGTATGCTCCATACCCATGCAGGTCCACCTGTCCAGGGGTCATATTCAAAACACAGCAGCTGTAACAGGAAATACAAATTCAATCTGTGTCTCCTGAAAAGCATGAAAAAGGAACTCAGCTATAAAAGCGCGAAAAGCCCTCTCACCCCACACCCTCCTCTTCCATGGTTCTTTTCCTGTTTTCCAGGGACTCAGACTGAATCCCATTCCTGTCATCACCGCTCCCCACACAGTCAATCGTGTGGCTGTATTTCCTCATCGTGTGTGTGAGCGCGCGTGCACACACACACACACACACACACACACACACACGCACTGGGGATTGAATTCAGGGCCTTCACACGCCAAGCAAGAGCTCTGTGACTGAGCCACACGCCCGGCCCACTCTTCCCACTGGAGCTCAGCTTCTCTCTTAGTCCGCCCCTCTGCACAGAGCCTTCAGCTTTCATAGCTCTACACCCTTCTGCAATTCCACAACACAAAATCCCCAGAACGGATCCCCAGGAACAGCTGCTTCTCCTAGGGAACAGGTGCAGGAGCCACATGGGACGAGACGCACTTTTACAGCAAGCACCTTTAGTCCTGGGGGATGGCAAGGCAGAAAGAGACAGCAGAGATGTTGGGGTACCCCTCCTGCCCCGAGAGGACCCAAGTCCCTGCTGCTCTGGCCACAGCACCGAGCTGGCTGGTTAAACAGTGCAGGATAGAACAGGTTCCCCTGGAATTGGAGACTGTTCAGCTTGGTGGTTATTTTATTCCTTCTTTCTGTCTTGCTAAAGAAAGATCGGGGTTACTAGTGAACTCTTGAAACTGGACATCCTGTAGAGCTGGCGTTCACTCGCTTCTTCCCTCTTCTTTTCCTTCACTTTGTCAGCCACGCATTTCTTTAGATCAGGTCAAAGGAGGGAACCCTACACAGAGTCCTCTCTGAGCGGCGGATGGGACATGTGTGGGACTGCGGCTCCCCAGGTGACTTTCCCAGGGCGGCCTCAGCTGTCCTCCAAGCCTACCCTGTCTGGGCTGCTCCCCTGCCCCTGCACTGCTGTTTTCTCTCCCCACCTCCTCCTCAGGGGTGGGGAGGTTTGCTGCGGAGCTAGGAGCACAGCCGGCCTGGCAGTGCTCAAACTTCAAGGAAAAGAAAATAGTTTCTCCTTGGGAAAGGTCTGGGGAGCTTTGTAGACTGGTCCATTGCCAGTTCTGACAGTGCAGAGCGGGGTGGGGGGCCCTGGTAGCTGGGGTGAGGAGAGTGGAACCACCACGTGCCCACCTCCGGCCTGCGGGAAGAAGCCAGCGGGAGAAAGATCCTATTTGTGATCGCTGAAGAGTAACAGCCAATTCTGCAGTGGGTGATAATGATTCATTTCCTCAGTGAAGGTTTGGGAGGACTAGAGTTGGAATACGAAAAAGTCATTTCTGTATCTGGCAGCGAGGGCCTCTGAGTGCTTGGCGTGCACTGTTTGGAATTTTGCCATCTCTGGTAATATCACAGTCTTAGCCAGCCCAGGCTGCTGGGACAGAA